TTGGAGCAGTGATGCATCATTGGAAGTACTCAGTTGTTGTGTGTGGATATCAGAGGCTAAAGCCGGTGCCCGGGTTGAGACGGTGGTCAGGACACCACAAGGAAAGAGAAAGTGAGTTCGAGTTTCGATGGGTATGCCTTGAGGGACCTGGTCCGGTTAAGGCTTGGTGGCGTGTTGTGGGAGTATTTTTGGAGATGAGTTGCCGTAGGCATCGAGGAAGAAGCATAAATTAAGTGGGGGAGAATTGTAACACCCCGAAATATCAAGAGTAGAGTTAAAGGGATAAAAGTGTAAATCTTGAAGGGCAACTCGGCGAGTCCATGGATGGACTCGGCAAGTAGGGTCGCGACTTTGGTCGCGTGTCAAGTGGCCTACTCGGCGAGTCCAAAGATGGACTCGGCGAGTAGGTGCTGAGTGGAGAAAACCCTAATTCTCGGGGTTGAGCCATATATAAAGAACTTAACATCCATTCCCCTAGCCTCTTTACTCATCCTCAAGTCCAGAAACCCTTAGTATTCGTGTGTGTGTGGATCAAAGTGCATTTGGGAGCTTGAAAGGGGTATTTGTTGAAGAAATCTTAGGAGTTTGGAGGCTTGGAGCAAGGGGCTTTGCTTGGATTCGAGTTTCATTGCAGTTAGGACTTTTTTTTGAGGTAATATCTTGTTCTTGGGTTGTTACTCATGTGGATTCATCATTTTGGGGTTTATGGGAGCTTATCTTGGTATGTTTTGGAGTTTGGAGGTTAGATCTGAGGTTGCTACCTCAGATCTGGAATGGGGGAGGTCTAGAGTGCATTAAAGTCCCTGTGTTTGAGTGCTTAGTGAATCCATCATGTCCCAAACCCTAGCTCTAAAGTGTATAAGACCTAGATCTCTCTTTGGATTCACGTAAAGTTTGCCACTTTACGTGATGGTTGGGTTGTAGGAGACTAGATCTATGTTTTGGATCAATTGCATGGCCTGGAACGCTTCTGTATAGTTTCAGACCGGTGGTACTCAGCGAGTCACAAGGGTGGACTCGATGAGTTGCTTGAAGATGAGCTGGAACTCGACGAGTTGGATGAACAACTCGGCGAGTAGGTTGAAGATAGCCTTAGACTCGACGATTCTGTTCTTGGACTCGGCGAGTCTTGTCAAAGAATCCCAATATTTTCTAGTTGAGTCGAGAATCGGTGAGTCAAGGGATGACTTGGTGAGTTGGGTGCGAGTGGACTCAGAGTTGTTGGACTCGGCGAGTCTCGGGGTGACTCGGCGAGTCAGGTCGCGGATTGAGGGAAGTTCTGAGCTTGGGGACTCGGTGAGTCATCGGGTTGACTCGGCGAGTATAGTCAGTTAGGGGTTGACTTTGACCGTTGTCCAGAATTGACTAGTTTGACTTTGTAGTGTTAGTCAGCCAGGATCAATGTGGTATTAAGTAGAGATATGCTAGTGTTGTAGGAGGACGATAGCTCGGGAGATCGAGCGCCAGTGATTCCGAGATACGCAAGGTGAGTCTTCTCACTATACTTTACCTTGAGTAGGTAACCAGAGTTATGTGACAGAGTATTTGTATGCTATGTATGTTATGTGTTGTACTGCATTATTTCTATGTGATTTATGTTGTGCATGTTTACAGAGTTAGAACCGTAAGGTTCACAGAGTTAGAACCTGAGGGTTCACAGAGTTGGGTGCACAGACCCATAGAGTTATAGCCTCGAGTGGCTAATATGTGTTATATGTGGTATTTTGGGGAACTCACTAAGCTTTGTGCTTACAGTGTTTGATGTTAATTGTTTCAGGTACTAGTGACGACCGTGGGAAGGCGCCGGCTTGATCAGTACACACGCACGGGATTTATGATTTTGAGATCTTGGGATCTTGTATTACTTGGATTGAACGATTGAAAATGGTTGTTTTCTGAATATTAAATGAATTATGTTTTATAAAAATTTGAAAAAAATTGTTTTGAAATTTACGGTGGTACACCAAGATGATGAAGAATCTGGATCTTCAAGCTCTACTCTAATCATTGCTTGATCAACAAGTTCCTACTTCTTCAAAATGCACAAAAAAAACACCAAAAGTTCACTACCAAAGCTCAAGAACACACAAGGAAAAGCTAGGGTTTCGTGGGGAGTCTCTAGATGGAAGGAGGTTGATAAGGGGGCAGAAGCAAGGTCCACAATGACACTTAAATAGGGGCAAAACCTTAATAATTAGGGTTTGTGGATGCTCGCGTACGCCCGATGTACGTATGGGTATGCCCGGCATACGCTAGTAACCCCTACGCCCAAATTAAGGGAGTACAACCATCGTATTGTTATGCCCAGCGTAACAGGGACCAAAGTTCTAACTTTTAAGACTTAATCAAGATATTGAAGGGTACCTGAAGCTCAAGCGTTATAACAGTCAATTTATTCAAGGTGATCAAAAGCATCCGACAATAATTTGAGAAGAAGTGGCGTCATATGACCTTTGGACATGACATGCATATTTTGGTTCATTAGGTGCCAACAACGACATCAATGGTCTAGACCAATCATCAATATTTAACGACATCTACCTTGGGAAATCATATGATATGCATTTTCAAGCAAATGAGACATCATACAAGCGTGGGTATTACCGTACTGATGAGATATATCTTGAGTTAGTAGTATTTGTGAAATCATTCTCATGTCCAAATGATGATAAACAAATAAATTTTAAGTCGGCACAAGAATCTGCTATAAAGGATATCGAACGAGCCTTTAGTATTCTAAAGAGACGCTGATACATAAGCATGGAGCGGAAACGAATTAGTTGCATGATGTATGCATGTATTATATTGCATAATATTATTATATATGCATGTATCGTATTGCAATGTGACAATAGAAGATGAGGTGAATGTAATTTGCCGCTACAATGAAAAATGAGAATTTACCAAATTGCGAAAGAGTTGGTATTGGTATGCAGTCGTACATGGCGAGCAGAGGGGAAATATACGACCGAGTTGGACACCATAACCTTCACGCTGATTTGGTGGAACATATCTTCAATGTTCGAGTGAATCTCGTTGTCGACTGTTATGATGAAGACGACTTATTCGATGATACAATGGCAGATCATAAATGTTTTACGGAGATTTGAGCGATGATTATGATGACGTGGAAAGCGGCGATGATTAGACTTCACGTACTATTTTACTATGTTGCGATTATGTTTTTTTATGTATTTAATTCGGTATGTATTTTTTTTAATTAAGGAAGTATTTCCTTTTATTTATTTTATATAATTAAATTTTATTCTATTAAAAAAAGAAAAAAAAAGTATATAAAAGTGTGGTACTCCCCTGACCGGTTTGTTGGGTAACGAAAAAACAATGTTACGATGACGTGATAATGCAATAGCGTGGTACTATGGTATAGTCACTACTAGAAAAAAAGCCTTTTACGACGCACAATTAATGACACACACTAATAGATCGAACATACCAACACCTTATCTCCTATTAATACTCTCCTCGTCCTATTCATTCTCCAAATTTGATTTCTCTCTTCCTCCCTCAAATCCCTCAAATCAGTGATGTCTTGTAATCTTATTCCTCCCTAAAATCGACGTACGTTACATAATTGGAGCAATTTTTCTTAATGCATCAGATTATCGTATAGTTAGAGCTAGTTGTCTTCTGTTGCATCGTAGTTCTAACCAAGAACAGTCATTCTCGTCTTCTTCTTCTTCTCGTCAAACATGTATTCTTCATCTCATATTTCTAGCATTAAGGCTTTTTCGTTGGCGTCATTCTTTTGTTACCGATTCCATATATGTGTTCCCAAGTAGAAAAGCTTCTCATATGCAAACTCACTACTAGAAAAACAGCCTTTTACGACGCGCATTTACGACGCTCATTGCGCGTCGTAAAAGGCTCAGACGACGCGCAAATGCGCGTCAAGGAAGGCCCTGTCATAAAGAGAGACGACGCACATTTACGATGCACAATTACGACACGTAATGCGTATCAAAGAAGGCCCAGTCATAAAGGAAGATGACACACATTCGCGTGTCATAACCTTACGACGCGTGTGTTAATGACACGCAATGCGTATCAAAAAAGCCCCTATCAAGAAAGGCCATGTCATAAATGAACATGACACATATTTTTGCGTATCGTAAATTTAAATGTTTAAAAAATATATATATATTTATTAATTTTTAAATTAAATTTGCATTTAATTTCGCATAATAGAAATAAAATACCATATACAAAAAATACAATCCATTGCATAATATAAAATAAATTTTCATACTCAAAAAATAAAATAAATTGCACAGATTATAATGTCATACAAAGAATCTTTCAAATGTTAAACAAAAATAATATATTGCCAACATGGGTTATACATTCCTACAAAAATAAAAAATAATCATACAACTCTGTTTCTTACTGGAAAGGAATGCCAAACATGATTACAAGTTTGACACCTTTAGGATCAGCATATAGGAGCATTATCCTCACATGGTCCTACTTCCTCTAGAGTCAAATCCAAGTGATATGTTAAGAATGTATGTAAAACACTTGGTTAGCAAGTCATCAGAGTAAGGTAGCCAACTGTGCATGTAAGTGATAAGATATATTAGGAAATAAACTCACCTTCAGAATGTAGTTTCTCCTTGTTATTACCATTATCCTTCACTCTAAACCATTCAAAGAAGAAACCTCCTTTCTCCCTGAAAGAGATCAAATAAACAAACTTTAAAACGACACAACAAAGTAGATGTGACTAATAATTTGTCATATATTGGATTTTTTTTCACTGGGTTTTGAGTTTTCCACGTATATTCTAATGTTCAATATCCTTTATTGTTTTATCTTTAAGACGATTTTCCTAACAATAACATCTTTAATGGGCTTACCCTCTGCTATAAGATGCACTGTGGGGTATCCAAATGTACTGACAAGGACCCCAGTCCAAAATCTACAGTGAACCAGGGGAACACATGACACATCTTTAATGGGCTGGACTCCATGTCTTTTCTGTTCTAACTATCTCCAGTAGTGGCATCACGTGAGTTGGACTGTAATCATTTAATAAGAAAAAATTAAAAAATTAAAAAAAAGTTGATAAGAGTTCAAAATTGCCTATAAGATGTAGACATATGGATTTTCTCATGTAACCTGAAGAAATGTGCCCTAATAACTCGATCTTGAAATTTTATATTTTCTCCAATTAAATTGAGGTCAATGGTGGATGTGTTGGTTGCTAAAATGAAATGAAGGGGACAAATGTTTTCAATATCACTAAATATTTTTTGCTTTAAAGGAATGTTCTCAATTACAGCATGTATTCACAAAACCCCATTAACATTGGACAACACCTTTTCACCTAGGCCCTGTGGTAGCTTCTTCCTTGAAACCGATCCTTTAACATTTGCTGAAAAAGTCATCAAACATATAACCAATAAGTCACATAATAAAATAGCTACACAATATAAGAGATAACTAACTACCTTCTGTTGTTTTTATTCCCTTTTGAAGATACTCAGAGTTGATTTCGTTGAGAACAACTTTTATATTACCAAGGATAAGGGCAATTGCTATTCCAGACCCCATTAAACCTCCACCAATCACAGCAACTTTCTTCACACTTCTTGGCTTTAGACCAACATCAGTAACTTTAGGTACCTGTAAATGTAAAATCAAAGAAAACCAAATTTAGATTTGTAGAAATTTTGATATTTCGAAAAAAAAAAAAAGAGAGAGAAAAGTGTTTAAATTACCTTTGAGATTGCACTTTGTGCAAAGAATATATGAACAAGACCTTTCGATGTGTCTGAAACAACAAGCTCATTGAACACCTTCACCTCCTGAGGAATAAAATGTTTGCATTATTAGAAATAATTGATAAATAAGTTACTTACAAAAATGGTCCCTGTGATTTCTGATTTAACCGCGTTTGGTCCAAAAATGAAATCTTTCTTCATTTTGGTCCTTATTTCAAAGGTTCCAAGGACCAAAACCTTGAAAAAAGAATCAACATTGAAAAGCGTTTCACGTTTTGACTATACTAGGTAAGCTTTACACTAGATTCAATCATATTGTTTAATATTATTACTTATATCTGGAAGCAATTCAGGGATAAGGTGAAGCGACTGGGATAGCATTTTGACTCTCTGGTCCTCAGTCAAAGGTCCTATTTTCATTTCATGGCTGAATGATGAGAGTAAAACATTGAGCTACCAATTGATGATTGCAATATTTTGGTAGCCAACTTTACCTTTGAGCAATGGTGGATCTATGAAAGACAACAATAGTGAAATATGAATCCAAGAGAAGGATTTTATCAGCAACAATTAAGGCAAAATCTAATAAAGCAGGTTTAACTCTAGAATTAAAAGCATAAGAAATTAAATAAGGCTGAATCATCAGACCTAAATTTGCAATATTTTCTCTGTTCAAGCAATTGGTATTATGACAGTTGCATCCCTGATGATCAAGATTTTTTATTTTTGTAGGTGTTCTTGGAACTGTTAGAGAAGAACTATACTAAGATATGATAAAGAGCATTCTTTGCATCCAGGCGGTTGGTTTCCAAAACACCTGCTACTTTGTGGATCTTGTAATGAAGCTTCCCTGCTGCAATGAATCGTGACAGCTCCCTATTTCCCCCACCAAATTCAAACAATCACACCCACGTTGTTAAAAAGACCAAAATACCCTCATGATACAGACATGTAAAAACAGAAGTGTGGATGCAAATATCGATCCAAGTTAATATGCTCAGTGATCCCAGCTGCAGATAAACAATATCATTATAAATTATTAAATTAAACCACAACCAAAATAACCCTCATCAACATGAAAAAGTTATAACATAAACTCACCAAAAGCAAAGAATAATGATTTGTTTTGACACTCGTACAGAGAGTTCATAAATTCTGATAAAAATGGAATCTTTCCAATCACGTTCAGAATCTCTGGTGCATCCACAACCTGCATAGATTAGAGAAAAAGTTTAAAGAAAATGAAAAAAAGATTTAAAAAAAAAGGTAACACATTGAAAGGACTACTACATAGTACATACCATTTTGCAGCCTGTAGAAAACTATGGATTTCCTTTTACACCTCTTCAGTTTGCAAGCTCTAAAAGGAGTGTGAATTAGTCCCTGAACATTTCAGATTTTATAAATAAAAAAGATGTAAAGATTCAAGAATCATAGTTTAGTTATGTAGAAATGGACAAACAAAAGAATAAAGATAGGATACTTACCAGATGATGACTGATGAAAGATGGCCTGTTAATCAATGAAATAGACGGATGATATGTAATTGATTTGATTATTAGAGTATAAGAGTGCAATTAATATTGTTAATTGTCAAACTAAAATATTAACTTTCCACTCATTCTTATAGCAGCATAAAGAAATTAGAAATAAACTAAGGCTAATGATTAATGAATACCTTGGTTTATAAAAAACTAAAAAAAGGGTTTGAGTTGCAATGCATGTTATGACTTGATATCACAGATGATGGCATATTGTTTAAAAGTTTCATAAGCCTCCTTACTCCAACACGTAGCTCCCCATTTTTGATGTGTTTGCACTCAAGAACCCACATCTAAGTGTTTGATAACGAGGGCTTCCTTTTTGGAAATCAAAAACAGAAGAAGTGATATTTGAAAACTTTCAAAACAAAGACCAGTAGACCTGAACAGCTTCTTTCTGAGTAGAGGTTTACTCGTATACCCTTTTCTACAGATTCAACTGTTACCTGCATGCAATAGATACAACATGATCATTAGCATATACAAACAAAAACGATGGACTCAATTACAAAAATTAAACACGTGAACTGAATGTATACAGCTTAATTTGCGTGTCTTAAACAAAAAGATGAATAACGACAAGTGATCTATGGAGCTTCATTCTTAATTACCTAATTTTCTTTCGTCTCTAATCTTTATACATCTTATCAGTCACACTCGTATAATTAATGAAACTAGCTTGAAACTTATAAAATAAGAATATTGATAGGGACATGACGAATCCAACATTAATTAATGAAAATACGTATATAGTACCACGAGCCATGAATTCTAGTAGCTTGAGAAAAAGTTTCATAAACCAACTTTTTTGCACTAAAAACACACTCCATCCAGTAGTCAGCAAATGACGACGAGGTTGACCTGAAAAAATATATTCAAAATCAGTCAACAAGACATCTAGAAGAAACAACACACAATGATGAAGAAGAAAGGTTCTTGTTCGTTTATTGCTTCCAAATAGGATGGGGACTTTATTTTTTAGGAGAACCGACGATAAAGGGGCGAATAGAGCCATAGGAGCCATTGTTACAACCAATCAATTTCATTCATGAAGTATTATGAGAATACTACAAGAGGCGAATGTCAACTGCAATTTCAAATGAAGTATTAAAAGATTCTAGACCAAAAACCTGATAAAAGTCGTCGAAGCTAGAACCAGCAGAACTACTGAAGTTATTATTGACACGAATAGGGACATGATATAATATGTGACATAGCTTCACCTCGAGTTCCTCCTGTACCCATTTCTCTAGAATAATCTGAAAACTAGTTGTCCATCATTCTCGCCTAAACCAACATCCAAAAAAAAAAATATCATATCACTAACTTCACTCCAACTCATTAAAAAAAATTACAATTAAAAAAATAAAGTCCCAATCGAGCACGTGACATTGCAACAATCATTCTTCTAACATCACGAAGGTGCCCCACAAATCGTGTCCTCACAAGAGACAAAAGAATAAAATCATTTTGTTGACCTTGAAACTTGTCAACCGTTGCAACCAGAAGAAAAAAAACCTTATAAACACTATCAAAGGGAAAATAATAGCATAATTTATGTCCTAAACTGACCTTGTGTGGAAGGCCAATGAAATCATAAGGAGCACATCTTCTATTAAGAACATAGCATATGAGATTTTCTAAAGGAAGTTTAGAATGTGAAATTCAATTCTAAACAAAGAAATAACACACCTACAACATGGAACGCCAGATGCAACAACAGGTTCAAGTGATAGAAGGGTAGTGAATGGCGAGACCAATTTCAAGAAGCTTTATGAAATTTTCAGATTTGCAACAGCAGGAGCTTTATGAAGTTTTCAGATTTGTAAATTCTAATTTCTAATTCTAATATTCCAATTTCAAGAAGAGCTGAATCCAAGAGATTGAGAGAACGGGAGAACAGGAGAAGAACATACCTGATTTCCGGTGACAGCTGCTGCGGTAGTGAATGGCGAGACAAACGGGCGGCGACTGAGCAAGGTAAGGAGGTAGCGACTAGCGACGATGGGGGAGGAACTGGGTAACAATGTAAGATAAAAATCGATTTTGACTTCTTGTCACTAGGTTTGGAAATCAGACTGAAATCGGGAGGGGCATAGCCCAATTTCTACACTAACAGGCCTATAATTAAAATTTTTAAAGATATATTTGCTATTTCTAACCCAAATATCAGGGGGGGGGGGGGGCAAAGCCCCTCCTGGCCCTATTCAAAATCCGCCCATGCTATGACCATTAGCAATCATATGGATCGCATCTGATTAGTAATTAGCGAATAATATCTCTAATTGAAGCTTTATTTGATTATAGAGGAAAATTGGAAGTTTCACGTGATAGGAAACCAGATTAAAAAAAAAAGCAATCGAGAATTCAACACATACAGGACCAAGAACAGTACCTATTGAATTTATGAGGCGACCTACTCCTTGCTGAAGCACAACCGATCCATTCTCTTCAGAAAAAAGGATATACATAGCAAGGCTAAATACACCTTAATGAACGATTTGATTTTTAAGAGACAAACCGATTGGAGTGGAATCAGAGATTGAGGAGTGGATACTGTTCTAAGGTCTTTATTTTAGGAACGAACAAGGAAGTGATGGTGCAAATCGATGACCACCAATCAAAGCCTTCATAGAGCTCGATTGGAGTGGAATCAGAGATTGGAGAGTGGAAGAAGAGAGGATCAGAGAAGTTCGAAGTGTGAATTGAGTTTTTAGGGTTCAATTTCAAGTCAATTAGTAAAGAGTCCAAAACGATTACACCTCCTTGTACCTCACCCAATAATCGAAACCATAGAAATTCTTGAATTCTGTATGAATAAGCGACGAAGATGCGAACTTGTGGGAAGTGAAGCCGTGGAGGTTTGAGAATGGAGAGAGAAGAAAGAAAGAAAGGGGGTTTTCAGCGGGGATGAGTTAGGTTTTCAGCCGGTGGAAACAAAGCGGGCTTTTTAAATTTTGGAATTCATTTCCCCCTTGGATGAAACGCGTGTTTCATTAAAATTTATAAAGCGACATAGCTAGACGACGCACATTTTATTTAAGGTGCCCTCCGTGTTTTTTTATTAGACACCAAATTTTGGGCACGCAAAAATGTGTGTCCACTATGCTTCATATTTTGGAAATCTGACATCAATTTTTAGGGCAGGCACATATGTGTGTCCTCTATTAGCGCGTGTTATTGATTGTGCATCGTAAAAGGCTGTTTTTCTAGTACTTACTGGCCCAACATAAGGCCCGCTTGCAACCGGATCTAACCCGACTGGACCTGGCGTCTGCATCTCAACGGCCAAACCCGCAGCTATCGTAATCGTCGCACCAACAAAATGGCAGCAGGATCCGATTCCGATTCTGCACCCCCTTCCGCCAACAGCTTCTCATCTGCCGCTAAGGACGGCATGACGGTGGAGGAGTGCGAGACTATGATCTAAAGAAGCCTTAGAAGTAATTCCGCATAACTTTTTCAGATTCTTAGTGTTTAGGGTTTATAAGTTTTTTATTATTTTTGCATCGTAATCACTGAATCCGCCATAAATATCAGCTCCATCGGTGAAGTTTTTACGGGAGCATTTAGAAAAAAAGTGGATGTAATATCGAGTTCAAGTCCATCAATTTATTTGTTGGTGTTGCTTCAATCTTAGGTCAGAGAATTGAAATGGATCTGACTGAAGAGATCGAAAACGAAGGTGACATATGGGTTTTGGAGCAGAAGATTGATCAGCCAATGGACGAAGAGGCTGGTAGGCTTTAGAATATGTATAGAGAAAAGGTAACTTTATGCCACTTTCTTTTTCTCAATGCTTTTGCTTTTTGGAAATGTTGCAAGCTTTGCACCCCAAAGAGCACCATCAGACCACATTAGTTCTCCCCTTGTTAAGCGTGTGGCTTGAAATGCTTCTCCCCCATGGTGCCAAGATGATAAAGATGGTCATTATGTGTTTGCACTTGGAGATAATCTAACTTCTTGATGTAACTACCCTTCACCACCATCAAAGAATCTTCATTTTCTTGATTGCATCCTTGCTACTAATAGAATAGAAATCAATAGGAAACAGTGGTTTTCTACTCTTTATTTATAGAGACTCATAGAACTTATGTTTGTTGACTTGTATTTTTGGATATATATATATATATATATATATATATATATATATATATATATATATATATATATATATATATATATATATATATATATATATATATATATATATATATATATGTTCGATACTGGCTAATTCGTTTCTTTCTTTGTTTGATTGTGTGACTTGCAGATAAGATTCATGAAAAAATGGGAGAAGGTGAGTACAATTTATGAACAAATTACATCTAATTGTTTGTAATATATCATTATATTGACTAATCTGATTAATTAATGTATCATTCAGGTACATTTGGGCAAGTATTGGAATATTGGGACAAGGAAAGAAAGGAAATGGTGGCAATGATCTCGAGGGAAGACCCCAAGAGGTTATTGTCATTATTATTATTTTTTAATAAAAAATGTTTTTTGTGGGTTTTGATGAATTTATATTATATATATTTATAGGTGAGGGAGGTTATTGGTACTGAAGATGATAGTGAGGTGAGGAGATATAAGGCAAAAATGGAAGAACGTGCAAGGAGGGAAGAAGACCTCTTCACCCGTGCTCCTCTTACAAGTAAGGAAAAGAAGAAGCTAAAACATATGCGCAACTCAAGAAATGGGTGAGCAAAAATACAATCAGTCATTTAGTTAAATAAAAAAAATGAAAAATATAACTTATTCTGATGGTGGATGTTTGTTTGTTGTACAGGCTGGCAGGTGTAGCTGATGGTTTCTATGATGATATTAAATCCTTGGCCTTACCTTTAGAAGAAGGTGATGAAGGTCAAACATCCTTCTTCATGGATTCAGATGTTGGAGAAAGGAAGTTGAAGAAGAGGCACAAGGTATAAAAAAAATTTTACCACTTCATTATTTTACTTCTTTTTCTGTTATTTGTTTCTTAATTATTTTTTAATCTCTTCTCTTCTGTTGTTGTGTTGTCAACAGAGACGACATTAGGGATGGATGGATGGATTGGTGATAGAAACTCTTAATATCATAATTCTCCTACAATCACACAACCTTTACTTTTACCTTTATGCCATGAGGATCAATCTATGTGTTTTCTATAGTTTCTTGTATTTCTTCAAACTTTTTTCATTTTATCAATTTTGTTTTGATGCTTTCTTTTGTATGGGGTTTCTACATCCCTATATTTTGCACATAAGCCCCTCCCCCATCGAATGTTCGTTGCGCTAAAAGAACTTAATTTGTGTTTTTTATAATGGTGATGTAATTTTACGATCTTGCCCTTGGCCCAGGTACGAATGCTGTTGAAGTCATTGGTGATAATAGGTGCATCATCTGGGTTAATATTAGGTGCTGCTGGAACAATTGTTCCCTGGTTATTCTCCTAGATTTTTTCACCTGATCCTCATGTCATAAAGGAGGTCAGTTTTTTGTTTTCTTGTGTTTTATTAAAGATTTATTAAATTACAAGATAAGTCGAATGTTACATTACCTGTTTTTATTTATTTAGTTTAAAGTTTGTCTTGTTTGAAAGCAGATGCACAAAGTTCTACTTCCATACTTCATTGCTTTGTCTATGACAACAAGTACTCAATTGAGGAAGTAGCTGATCAGTGTCATTCCCCTGAGGATGTATGTATTTATTTATGTCGTCTTCAACATTTATATTTTGTTAATCCCATTTTGGCTCTGTTTTTTTTAATTAAGTGCTGTTAAAAAATATATATTTTATAAAATGAAAACAACAAATAAATGAGCACAAATTTGTAAAAATTTAGGACTTGATGGTACTTTCTTTATTAATATCAACTATTTGTTTCTGCATTAAGTAAAAAAGAAACAAATATATATAGGTGAGGTGTTGTTATTAATCCATACAAAATCACCTTTTTATTGGCGGATTGAGATGGTGTACAAGATCATTGCACACATGGCTGCTAATGGTCGAGCTATACTTGCAGAAGGTGATTGTGGTTTGCCTCGAAGTGTCAAAGTTTTTCTTGGGGAGTGTAATGTTGATGGCTTGTATGGGTAATCGTGTAACAGATTTTTCTTTTTCCTTTTCCTCATTGAGATTTTTTCAAATATGGATTCTCATTTTAATGAAATAAGAACAAATATCAACATATTGTATAAACCTTGATGAAATTTATTTAATGGTGTGTTTGTATGTCAAGGTGATGATAATACTGCTGCACAAGATAGATTTTTTTTCTCTCTCTCTCTCCCTCTCTCTCTCTCTCTCTCTCTCTTCTATGAACAGAACCTATTACAATGGATGCTGGTGAAAGATACAAATTATGATGTAAAGTATATGAAAGATACAAATTATGAGGTTAGTCCCATGTGACTTTTATGATGCAACGTATATAAAAGATACAAATTATGGTAACTTGTTTCTGTCTTTTCAGGAGACTAACTATGTTCCAATTAAACATAGGAGTCGTGTTGTACTTATGATTAACGGGTATGCAATGTAATCACTCTTGCTTCGTTGCTTCTTGCCCTTTGATAAGTGGTATCTTACCGTAGCCTATGTTAAAATTTTAATGGAAGTCAGAACTCAGAAGCTATCTATATGCATATTGTTTTATCCTTTTCAAAGTAAATAAGATTGCTAGTTATGTATTTCTTTTTGACAAATTGGATTTATGATTTGGAAATTGTAATCTCATGTTAGGGGGGACACCTTTAATGGAAATGATGATTGATGCTGGAAAGGTTGTTCCTATTTTATAGTTGGAACATGGAGTAGCTGTTGTTAAAGTGTATACAAGGTCATTCATGACTTCTGGCAAGTGTTTTAAGTTCATTTTGTTTTCTGATGCAAAAAAGTGGCTAATATATTTGTGTTGTGTTGTGGTGTAGGGTTTTCAATAGCTATAATGAAGGCAGGGCAAGCAATTCCGCAATGCCTGGATGTTGCAACTAAGTCTCCGCATTGGCATGTTGGTGTTGATGGTTGGTAATTCCATTTGATTTGAATATGATATAGCTATTAGCTAGTTTAAAATTACAATATAAATATATGGTTGGTGGATATAAAAGACACAAATTGATTTCCAAAGTGACAGATTATTAATTAGTTGATATTAATATTATACAACTGACATGATTATTGAATAGTTGATATTGATTTGAATATGGTTGATTCCACTCTCATACATACCATGTGTATTATTAATTAGTTGATATTGATATTGTACAAATGACATGATTATTGTGTAGGATTTCCGTGTTGTTCTTGATCAAGATTTGGGATCGATTGATATTGAAGCTAAGAGACATGATGATTGGTTGGATACATGAAGGGTTTTAGAGCTTCTTCAGACAGCTTAATGACGAGTTACTGAAACAAGAAGGTGCCCCTTCATAGCAATGTAGTATTAGGTTATATAGTTAGGGAAATGCTTTTAATAACAATGTACAATCAGATTCGTTTAATATCAATGTATTACATTTTTTGACATGATGCTATTGGATGAAATTGATTGTTTTGGGATATATATATATATATATATATGTGTGTGTGTGTGTGTGTGTTTCTATATATTTGTATTATGCATAAAAGAGTATTGTAAAGGCATGTCGTATATGTATATCGTAAATGGTTGCTGATGTTTATGACACACAAATGTGTGTCATCTTCATTTATGATAGGGGCTTTAATGATACGCAATGCGTGTCCTAAAGGCGCGTCGTAAGGTTACGACACGCAAATGCGTGTCGTCTTCCTTTATGACAGGGTCTTCCTTGATACGCATTGCGTGTCGTAAATGCATGTAGTAAATAGACGACACGCAAAAGCGTGTCGTCTCTCGTTATGACAGGGCCTTCCTTGACACGCATTTGCGCGTCGTAAAAGGCTATTTTTCTAGTTGAGTGTGGTACCTGTCTAAAATGGTGTGGTATAAAGGATGATGTAGCATGTGAATGTGAAGTGGTAAAAAGTAATATTAAAGTTGGTGGGTATGGGTCCTCACCACCATAATATTTTTTTGTCACGTTCCATGTCACTCTACACACCATATAATTTTAGGTAGGATATGGTAATCACACAAAAACAATTTCCATGTTATAAAAGTTTTAATTTTTTTATAAAATAAGGACAACTATCAATGCGTGAAGTACGACTCTTGAATCAATGGAATGTCGGTTGCCTTATGTTGAGAGGGTAATGCCTCATAACATAACATTGGTCAGGGGTGGTGTTGTTTGGCCTTTAACAACGTTAAGCCTTTGCCACATAGAGGATCCATACGAAGTGGTCTAAGACATGAACCCATATCCACAGGTCTAACTTGATGAAGACCCCTAACTTACAGGTCTGATTTTTAACTACGCATTTTCCTAAAAATGATTAGTTGTATGTTTTATCAAGCAAAAATGGAATGTTGGTTATTGGATTTTAAACGATGCCATCATGTCGATATTAATATAAACAATGAAAAGTTCCCCACGCATTACATTTTATTCACTTAAAGATAACATGGGAGTCAACAAAGCTATTAAAAAAACAATCGGGGACGCTTGCTATTTGACTGCATGAGGTATAGTATATAACACATAAGCTTTAGTCAGCTTTGAAAAGCTAGGATGGTAAATAAAAGAAACATTCTTTGAAAGACAACCTCATAAGCAACATCCACATAAATGAAATGTTATGAAGCAAAAGAACTCAAATGAGATTTTTTGCAAAAATGGGTTGAAAATAGGGACCCTTTGCAAAAATGGGTTGATTCTTATTTCTTTTGCAAAAATAGGTTTTTTTTGTGGCCCCAAATAAAATCAAACGTATTAATATATAAATTTATATTTTGGCCCCTTCAACTCTCATAATAACCTCATAACTTATCTATTATTTACTTTTTATATCTTTAATTTTTTAAGTGTATATTTTTATCTTTATTACATATAATACATAAGTTTATTATTCAAATTACAAAATCGGAATTTATGTAAATATCAAATATTTCTTTTTAAACTAACATATATATATATATATATATATATATATATATATATATATATATATATATATATATAATTTATATGTCAAATTATTTGTAGAAAAAAAACAAAAGCTATTGAATTGTCATTCTTTATCGCAAAGAAGATGTCTTAGTTGTCACTATCCATATGCAAAAGTAGGTGTCTTAATTGTCACTATCCACATGCAAAAGTAAAAGTATGAATTATCATTTTCATCTAAAAATATGTAAGTAAAGTTTAAAAAATAATTATCACTTTGTTTACATTCAATTCATTTTCTGACGTATATATTAAATTCACCATTTTAGTTTCCATTATCATTTTCATAAACCATAGTTCTCACAAATTTGAAATCCCAACTTTTCTTCTTTAATTCTTCAGTCACGTTTGTAACTTCATATACGAATCCTCCTTCGCAACAAAATTGTAAGGTACATACTCTTGTTGAAATTTCAAATATCGTGAAACATTATGTAAAATATGATAATTTATGTATTTCATCTTATTGTTTATTTTGCAGTTACAAAAAATGTGGCCTGCGAATACTAGTCTTGTAGATCTTCTTAACAATTACGGAGTATCACAGCCAGTTCAGCCTATTGATTTTGTCACCAACCCCTCTGAGGTACAATTTCCTTTACCTAATGATGCTAGATGTGAGACAGATAATGACTTTGGGTTTAATGAACCCAACTCCCAATTTAGTGAAGATAGTGTTAGTGAATCATTAAGTGATGTTGGGGATGAGTCTGACGATAATGTGAATGAAACTCCGATTGTGAGTAAAAGTCCAATTATGAACTTTATGAACGATATTGGAGACGAAGGCGACAATGACGTAGTAGATATCCAAGACAAAATTTATTTAGATTTTTGGAATGAATCTGAAAACAAAATAAGGTTAGGGATGCTGTTTGAAAATAAGGATCAGGTAAAAAAGGCAGTAAGACTTTGGACGATCAAGCAAAATAGAGAGTTTAAGGTTTGTGAAAGTAAAAGTAGTTTTTGGATAGCAAAGTGTAAAACTCTTGGCGGTGAAGAAGGAAGTTCTAATACTGACTCATATACACCGCAGTGTGCATGGTATGTTCATGCAATGAAAAAGAAAAACCTTCATATGTGGAAGATCACACGTTGGGTGGATGCACACAATTGTTTTGGATCTTGTAGAGGCAATGACAACATAAGTCTAAACTCTGCAACTATAGCCTTCTACATCATCCACTCAATTGAAAAAGATATTGCTTATCCAGTGAAACATATACAAGCAGATATTAAAAATATTCTAAATGTTAACGTTTCTTATTGGAAGGCATGGCATGGTAGGAGAAAAGCCATAGAGAACATTTATGGAACTTGGGAAAGTAACTTTGCAGAGTTACCCAAGTACATTGCAACTTTGCAAACTTCAAATAATAATACCATCGTGAAATGGTTTCATAATCCAAATGGCTCATCACATGTGGCAACATTTAAGTATATTTTTTGGGCTTTTGGACCTGCAATTAATGCATTTCATTTATGTCGACCTGTTATTTCCATTGGTGTTTGTCATTTGAGAGGTTCGTAAAAGGGTAAAATGCTTATTGATGTTACAAAAGATGCCAACAATAATATATAACCAGTTTCTTATGCCATTGTTGATGAGGAAACTATACACAGTTGGAGTTGGTTTTTGTATCAGTTCATACATTTTGTTGCTCAAGACAGACAATTGTGTGTTATTTCAGACCGACATCAAGGAATAATTCATGCAATGGCAAATCTATAGGAATGCAAAGAGCCATTGGAATACCATCAATTTTGTCTTCGACACATCAGAAGCAATCTCATTAAAAAGTACAAGAACGTGAGGCTTAAATCATTTTGTTAGGATATTGGAAGCACCACACAAAAAAGAAAGTTTGTGAAGTATAAGAAACAAATCAAAGCAATCAGTCTTGAAGCTTGGCAGTACCAAATTGATAAAAGTCAATGGTGTCTTTTTTATGATGAAAGTCGTCGATGGGGGTCGTTAACGACAAATATATCAGAGAGTATGAATAATGCGCTACGAGGAGCAAGACAACTACCTATTAGGGCGTGTATTGATCTTACATTCAATAGAACTGTACAACTTTTTAGAAAACATAGTGATGCTGCAATGAATTGCAATACACCTCTACCTTCACGTATGTGGTGTCTCTTTCGTAAACGTGACACTTCTGCACAAAGTCATACTTTAACTGAGTTCAACTATAATGAAGGTGTCTATAGAATTGTCACCAAGTTACAAATAAATGAAAACGGAGGAAATACTCACACTGTTAGTTATTATCAACATACATGCACATGTGGTAAGTGGCAGATGGAAAGATTCCCTTGTTCACATGCTCTTGCAGTTTGTCGTTTTAGAGGGGATAACCCTTTTTCCATTATCAATTATGTTTACACAACTGTGACATACAAGCAACAATATAATGATGGGTTTTCACCACTTCCTCATGCTGATTATTAGTTAGAGGTTGATTGGAGTATTCAAGCAGATATCTCAAAATGTGCAGTCGGTCGAGGTCGGAGGCGTGCAAAATCGATTTCGTAACGAGATGGATGTTCGCCATCGTGATGAACCTCGTAAATGTGGACTATGCCATCAACCTGGTCATAACAGGAGAAATTGTTCAAATTCTCAACCTAGATTCAATGCGATGTGAACCATGTAACTTTTATTATTCTTGTAATTTTATGTTTAATTTAGTTTTTAGTTCATGTTTAATTTCTTTTGTAGCTGTGTCTTTAATTATCTTGTAATTTCGTAATTTCGGAACATATAATAAATTCGATATTGGTATTAATTAGAATGTGTTTATTAAAATTTTCTAATGATGTAAATCGCAATAACATAATAGACATATTTTGGTTATATGTTTTTAATATATACAAATTTACATTTGTTGTAAAAAAGCTAAAAAAATAATTCTTTTATTAAAAAAATATATAAAATAAATATAACATATAAGTTGTAGGGTTAATATGAAAGTTGAAGGGATCAAAATGTAAAATTATATATAAATAATTTATTTTTATGTGGAGACATAAAAAAACAACCCATTTTTGCAATTGAAATAAAAATCAACCTATTTGAGCAAAAGGTTCCTATTTTCAACCCATTTTTACAAAAAAAAAAAAAAAAAAAAAAAAAAAAAAAAAAAAAAACTCGAACTCAAGTATGAGTCGGTGAACATTAAGTAGTCTTTTTAATTTCAAGAAGAAAAAACACATAAGAAAATAGAGGATAGATAAGGCTAGACCCAAACAAGAGTGTCCACATACTCCACGATTCTATGTGCGCTTTGTTCTGTAGATGTCAATTTAGTCTTGTTTGCAATTGGATCGTATAAAACAAGTCGACCCCTACAATCTACAAGAAGCAGTTCATTGCGTGATGTGAATCCAAATGGAAATCTCCAACCATCATTAATAAACTTAGGGAAAACATAGCGTTTGACCCACGATTTAGGCACCCCATACTCCTCCATCACCCACACCTCCCATGCACCATTCTTATGCCATGAAATCTCACAAAGCTTTCCACCCAAAACTCCTAAATGATGCGTAATGTGGTTGGAATCTAGTAGAGAATCTGGAACAGGTATCTCACGGAAGGGTTCTGAATATGGATGTTAGAACAAAAGTATCCAGAAATGCGTATTAAGCCGTTGATAGAGCCAATAACATTCATTGGGAGATTACTTGGAGTGTGTTTGATGACATTAGTGGGTTCTAGATGGGAAGATTGAGAGGAGTATTGTTTGAAGGGTTTGAAGAGACCATAGAAGATCAAGAAAATTTGTTCATTGTTGTTATGCATGGAACGATGGAGGTGGGATTTTACAAAGGAAGGATGGGATAAAAGTGTACTCCAAGATTTGGAGACAGACCTCATCTGAGCAAGCTGTTTGGCCAATAAGCGGACGAATATGTTTAATAAAATCTCGTCTGGGAGATTCTCCGTAGTCGTTGGGTGTTGGATTTTAGACATGTAGCAGCAGTATATAAAGTATTATCAATGGCTTCCTACATCCAAAGAAAAAAAAAAGCTAATTAATTGAAATGGAATCCAACAATCATTATGAAAGAAAGACAAAAAAATATAGAAAGCTACAACAACTAGGATGCCCTAAGACATTCATACGATATAGCATGGAGCATATAGTCCCTACATAAGCTCACATTCGCAAGAAATAATTAAAAATTGATCTAACTGAAAGCAAATGTATTAAACCTGGCTAGAAAGGGCCTCTCACGAATCTTAATTTTCTCGAGTTTCACCGCTAACGTAGGGAACCTTCACATCGCCGGCAGTCACCATAGGGGAAACACGAACTGTTAAGGAGATTTTTGTGCACAAATGTTGTTTATGGAGTAACGGAGATGATTATTAATTTCCATGAGAATTATAGAAATTTCAAATTATTATCTTTTGTTTCTTACTTTCTTTTATTTCTTTTATTGTTTTTTTTTATATTACTATATTTCTAAAACGTTTATTTTTATTTTTTTTTACATGTTGACTTACAGTTCTAAAACCTTTGGCACTTGGAGCATGTTAATAATAATTTCTACATCGTTTTTAAAAATTGAGAGACTCATAAAACTCTACAAAGTACAAACTCTAAACTGATTATTGGACTTTTACTGCTTTATTATACTAAAAATACAGCGATGATATGATGCTATTTTTTAAACCAATATATTTGTTAGAAGGATTTACTAAAACAATTTTAAATAGATACTAAAAATAGATCAATCATAAATATATTTGTTTTTTTTAATACAACAATACTAAAAATAGAGCAATCATAAATATATTTGTTTTTTTTATACAACAATAATAATAACAAAACCCGTGAACTTGTTCTAATGCCATAACTAAGGAAAGTAAATTTTAGAATTCATAGAGGATTGCATTACACCCTATAAAGAAATACAACCCTTAGCGGCCACCAATAGCGGCGACATATCAAACTGTCGCCGCTAAATGTAAGTTTTGCCGCTATTGGTGTCGCCGTTAATTGCCCATGACACGGATGCGCACTTTAACGTTTCGGTAAATTAAGACCGTCTGATCATGTTTATAATCCAACGTCTAGGGTATTCGAGAATGCACAAAAGCAATACGGGCGAAACAAGTCGCCGCTAAAGACCTAACCGAGTCACCGCTAATTGTCGAATAAATGATGCGGCATTGATTCCCTCCTAAGTGTCGCCGCTATTGATAGAAGTAGTTGCTAAAGTCAAAATTGTCGCCGGTAAAGGAGTCACCGCAAAAGGTCGACACAGTTAACCAAAGAAATTAACGTCGTTTTCTTATTCTCTGTTCGCTTCCATCTAGAGCTGCTGCTGCAATTTTTTCTTCCATCTTCTTGGTCGATTCACAACTAAACCCATCCGGCAAAACCGATATTTAGGATTCCGACCACATTGAGGAAGATACCGGCGATGAAAGTTGAGATTGACCGGTGGAGACACTATTTTCCGGCTACAATAGGTATTTTCAACAAAAGATTATGTTCCCTTTTGTCTTGTAACATTGGTATTTAGCTTGCTTTAGTGATTAATTGCAAAAGATGTTCAATTCCAGCTTTTGATTGACTTTCCCCGCCACCATCGGCGACTGCTGCTACCACTTTACCATTTCTTTGATTTCCGCCACCATAGGTTCTATTTCCTTCTATTTATTTTGAAATTTGAGTTTAATTGCAAAATATATGTAGTTGTATAAATTATGTGAAAATTAGCATATATTTGATATATGTATGTGAATGTGTGTAAATTTGGTGTATATATGTGAATGTATGTATGTTTGGTATATATGTTGTATATAAATATGAAATATGTGTATTTGGTATAAGTAGGATGTTATTATCTATATATGTGAAAGTATGTGTGTATTTGATATAAGTAGGATGTTATTATATATGTATGTGAATACATGTGTGTTGGTGAATATGTAATATTTGAATGTGAAATTTATGTATTTTGTATAAGTAGGATGTTATCTATATATGAAAAAATCATTGGATCTTTTATTTTGATTGAACATTAATAATTTTTGGTGTTACAAAGACTTAATCTTAAACTAAAAATCCTAGTCTCTAACCATCCAATATAACTTTTTTAATGTCAGAATGAGAAAAATGCTATTACATAATTTGATTCCCATGGATTATAATTACATTATAAAAAATCCATACTAGTAGTAAAACATGGAATGATTAGATGTAGGTGAACATTGATAACCCTCTTAACACAAAGAAAATTTTATATTTCCATTGAGACATGAAGCATTACCGACGATGGCAACAATAGCGAAGAATTTATCATTGGCGTCGACACGAAGCATTACCGGCGACAATTTTTTTAGCGGCGACATTCTAATCAATAGCGACAGAGCAGTAGCAGCGATGTTTTACCGGCGACGTGTCACCGCTATTGCGTTTACCGGCAACTAGCTAACTCTTTACCGGTGACTTTTGTCGTCGTTAATGATTGTATTTCTTGTAGTGCACACAAGACCTCTGACATGTTTTTAATTTTTTTTATATGTAACATAAATTCATATATCGTACCATACTTTGTATTATAAGTTTATAAATAAATATGTCTATAGAAAATGACATTTTAGACGACATAGGTCTAAAATAAGGTTAATGATATTGTTCACCAACGAATTTTTCGATTTGGTTTAAATATCATCATTAAAGCTTTATTATGCATTCTAGACCCCTAAAGGGAGGAGGGGGGGGGGGATCCTAATTGATTCGGGTTTCATGGTTATATAATCTATTTTGCTTTTTTGTGTTTCTAGAAATCAAAGATTAAAATTTTGTCCATGTGGTTATGTGAAACTTAATTTATTTGTTATTGTCTTCTTCACCTGCTTTTATTTTTGGTTCTGAAAGAATGGTGAACCTGCTTTTATTTTTGGTTCTGAAAGAATGGTGAGCCAACACGAACATCAATGCCAACCTCTTATCACAACCAACAACATCCTAACCATAAAAACAAAATCAACCACAAAGATCTTTATTAGAACCCTAATACTTCATGACTTTAACTTATGAAAGAATGGCTCTCTTCTTTATGTGGTTTTGTTTGTAGGATTTTACCTTTGAGAAGTTGAAGTCGGGTCTGGCGTGTGCAATTGAAATTTATGTACTTCCATCTGTTATGACATACGTATGTAATCAATGAAAAATGTTGGGATGCAAAACTATTCATTGGATGATGACTTAGAAAGTTTCATCCTATTCGATACGGAAGGCTTCTCATGTGGAAGGCCTTATGGGTTGAGCTAGCCTATAAATACTAGTTTAGTATTCATTGTATAGGTTGAGAGAGCTCTCATTGTATAGATGAGTAGTTTAGTCTAGTGTGTGTGTGTGTGAGAGAGAGAGAGAGAGAGTATTGTACAAGCATGCACATGCTTCTACAAGTTTTGTAACTACTCTATTATCTATACATCTTGTGCTTAAAGTGCCTTAAATATTAGTTCGTGTCTTTTCTATTATGCATTTCATCATAATTCCGCATTATCATCTCTATGGGATCTTACATGTGGTATCAGAGCTTAATCTTGAATGTTTAACAACTTTTTAAAGATCAACGATCCTAAATGACAACTTTGGTGCATAATCGACTAGAATATACAAAATCTTTGGTGAGTCTCTCCGTTAGATATATTTTCTTTCATGTCAAATTTTTTATCCAATTTGTTTTTGTTAAATTATCCTAAAACGTTGATCTATATTTGCTTGATCTGATTACTGTTCATTATCCAAGTTCGAGCCCAAACCTTGAAAATCCGAGTCTATGAATCTCATTATCTATCAGTTTTCATCTGATTGCAAGTTGTTCCTTCTTCCTGTTCGACCAGTTTCTCTTATTTGGTTTTTTGGCTTGATTATGACAGCCTTTCTACCTAATCAATTTGATTATGTGTTATGAGTTTATCTATTTGATTGATATCTGATTATGTGTTATGCGTCTATTTGTTTGATTGATGTCTCACGAAGGTTGATATAATTGTTGAGGTGGTAACGAAAGTGGTTGAATGCTATAACTCCCTAATTCTGAAACTTGATAAGAAGGTTGAGGTTGATACAAAGAGTTTTGGGAATGTTGATAAATTGTTGGTAGATTTGAAAGCCTTAGTTTCGCAATTTGGCTCATCTTCACTATTCACTCCTGAGTTCTTAACTCAGAAGTTTCGCTTGTTAGAGTCAACCATTCATAACGAATAGGCCCCGCTTGCGAAACTTATCAATTTGATGCCAACGGATTGTAACGCCCGTAGATCCGGGCTAGTCACTTTAGAGACAATGAGCGTCAAAAATGACTTTTTGATAGAACATTATTTATAATAAATAATCTTAACCAAGTTATACTATATGTCACAAAGGTTTTGTACATATAAAGAACGCCGAAATCCAAGTTATAACGAAGAAGTTATGACCCGTCAAAGTTTTACGGCAAAACCGGCGCGACACCGGGAATCGTAAAAAGTGAATTTACAACAAAATACTTTCTAGACTTAGAGATCTAGATAAAAGTCGTAGTATATGTTAAACTGAGAGTATGCATAAAAAGAACGTCCAAATCTGACTTCGTATGAGGAAGTTATGATTTTTCTAAGATTTAGCGTAGCAGTGCACAGCCCGAAATTCGAATTTTAGATCAGTCGATTTTCAGCCAAAATAATCTAAACAAGAAATGAAGATATCATTAATAGGATTTAAACGATTAAAAGACAGATGAAAACGGAGCTCGTATGCGAAAGATATGGACGAAGCTTAGTCTTTACTTTTCGAGAGCGGCGAATTCGATACAATTTTGTAAATCTAAGATAGAATGAGAATTAGCCAACAGGATCTAAATAAAAATTGTAGTACTCGTAAATACCAATGCCTGGATATCAAGAACGTCGAAAATGGAGCTCGTATGTTAAAGATATGGACGAAACTTAGTCTCTACTCTTCA